AGAAAAGGGGATCAACGAATTTATAACAGACAGAGAGTACAAAACTAATATCAGAACTCACCGCTGTCGAGAACGACAACGGAGGTCGCGACTGTGGCTGGGCTGTGGAGTCGCGATAGTGGCTTCGCGGTGGAGGTCGACAACGGAGGTCGTGAGTTGCGGCGGCTTGGCTAGGGTCAAGCTAGGGTTCCGAATTTGAGGAGAGCTGGGTTATGACGATTGATGGGTGGAGAACTGGATTGGACAGTAGGGAGATGGCTGGCGAGCTGGAGCTGAGGCAAGATTTGAGAGAGTGCGAGAAAGGGGAGGAATTAGGAGAAGTTGGGCGTTAGAAAATGAATTTTTGAGATGATAAAGTGTCAATAATAAAAAAAGACCCAAAACCCTCTGTTGTGTCTGTGTTGGTTGCAAGATATTTGCTGAATGGATTTTGGTTCTTTGATAACCACAAACCAGAGATGGCGAGAGAGAGAGAGAGAGAGAGAGAGAAGAAAAACATATTGCAGAGTGGGTGGCTTGGGAGGAAGGAGGGTTAACCAGGATGAGAGAGCGTGCTTTGCACTTTCGGATTGCATCTTTTTGGTATGGGTAATTTCAACCCGGTTTTACCAAAAAGCCAATATTGAAAACTCACCATTGGATGAAATCCAACGGCTCTTACATACCCCTCAAAAACACCCCTTATAACTTTCCCCTCACTATAGAAGCTCCCGTTTTGGAGACCAATTTATGATGTTCATGGAATCAATCTAGTTTGTTCTATGGGCCTAGAAATCCAATAATATCAGCCCAGTCCTTTGATCTCCTACTTAAAAACGGCACCGTTTGCACCGATAGAAAAATCAAACACCGAGTCCCAACCGCATACGCAACCCAACCCACCTAGTGTGGAGAGTGCCTCTAACTCCATAACACGTGGAAAGCCACCCCAACCCTAACCCTCCTTCCTTCCTTCCTTCCTTCCTTCCCCTCTTTATAAAATCTCAAATCCACACCTCCCTTTTTCTGAAAACCTCGAACCCAAGTACAACGGGTTTTTGCTTCTCTCACCCGACACAGCACAACAATATCTGTACGCCTTCACCTGAAAACTCAATCCCAGATCTGATACCCACCGCCCTCGCTCTCTTCACCGATCGTCTTCTCTCTTCTCAGGTCCGTTCCCATCTAAATCCCCAATTTCTCATCTTATAAATCTATACATGTGTATATATGTTATGAGATTGGTCTCACTTTCTGATTTTAATGATTTTGGGGTTTTTCAGGTTGATTTTTGATAACGATGGTGTCTGACGCGAGCAAGAAGAAGGCGGCACAGAAGAAAGCGGCGGCGGCGGCCAAGAGAGGTGGAAAGGCGGCGGCATCGGCGTCGTCGAAGTCGGCTGCGACCGAGTCGCAGAACGGAGTTGATAAGCTATCGAATGGCGTCGGGGCGATGCATATTTCGGATCGTAACTGCACCGGCGTTCTCTGTTCGCATCCTTTGTCTAGAGATATCCGGGTATGTATGCGAATATGATGTCGTTTTCACATTTGTCATCTGATTTTGTTTTGTTAAATTCCTATTTGGTTTACATAAAGTTCGTGTCTTTTGTGTTTTGGGTAATGTAATAGCTGTTTTTCTTACTAAAAAAATATATACTGGAACCTCTAGGTCTGGGTGAATTATCTGATAGAGCATATTCAGGAATCATTCTCCCTTTTGAAAAATATAAAAACCCCATGGCGAAGACGCCTTTAGGTGTTCAACGTTCCATTCAGGTCTATATTTGCTTAGTTTGTTTTATTTACTTTCAAAAAAGTAATGCAAGCCTATTTCATTGCTATATAACTGTGTATCTACATGTATAGGTATAACTGTGAGCACACGTGATAGGTGCGTGGGAGAAATGGGTTAGTTTGGTTAAGCTGTAAATATGGTTGAATGGGGGAAGACAATGTGTTAGAGCACCAACCGTTAGATTCAGTGTTTATTTTCTTTTATATTTTATATTTTCATTTTGTTTAGCAAGGTTTTAGGCATATGTAGAATTCTTATAAATTTGTTTTAATGTTTTGTGGATGTAGTTGTTTTTGCCATCCCTCTATCAGGAGGTTCTCTTGTTGGTGTGTTTATAATTTTAAAACTTGATCCTAGTTTGTTAAAAGTTCTGGTCTAGTTTTAGTTTTCCTATAATGGTTTAGGTTGTAGATTAATCCATCTCATTCTCTTTTCATTTTCTGAGTATTGGTCTATAGGTGACTTTCCCAATTGAAATGGCTGGTAGTAGTGATGAATTAACATGTTTTTGTCTTTCTGATCATTGCAGATAGAGTCTCTAACAGTTACCTTCCATGGACACGATCTGATAGTTGATTCTGAACTGGAGCTTAATTATGGCAGGTTTGTTGTAGATGCTTCATTCAAATATGAGACAATCAAAATTGGATTAATTTTTTTATATGTATATATGAAACTTCTGTATTTGTTCTTACTTTTCAGACGTTACGGTTTGCTTGGTTTGAATGGGTGTGGTAAATCTACCCTCCTAACTGCAATAGGCTGCCGAGAGCTTCCAATTCCAGATCACATGGATATCTACCATCTCAGCAGGGAGATTGAAGCTTCAGACATGTCTTCACTTGAGGCTGTCATTAGTTGTGATGAGGAGAGGATAAGGTTGGAGAAAGAAGTTGAAGAACTGGCAGCTCTGGTATGCTAGATTGAATTAACAGTTAAATTCAACCTTGAGGAATACTTTGCTTTTTTGATTTAAAAAGAATTGTGAAGTACAAAAACCAGTGTTTGATTATACAAAGTAATTTGCATAGAGTAAAAGTTAAAAGCTAAAAAGTCTGCATACGGATAGAGTATGAGGATTGTGTTTAAATTTGTAGTTTTTTGGCCCTGTGTTACCTTGAATTTTTTAGCCGTATTAAAACAGCTACTTTTAAATCTCCAACAAATGATAATTTTTGAATAGTGAAAAGCAAAGAAATTATTTTCAGATGTGAATAATGGAAGCTTTGTTAGGCAGCTTGCTTCTTTAGTATATATTTCTAATGACTTCTTTTACATTTTTCAGGATGATGGTGGTGGAGAGCAGCTTGAACGCATTTATGAGCGCCTTGAAGCATTGGATGCAGCAACTGCAGAGAAGCGTGCTGCTGAAATTCTATATGGTCTTGGGTTTGACAAGCAGATGCAAGCAAAGAAAACTCGGGATTTTTCTGGTGGTTGGAGAATGAGGATTGCACTTGCACGTGCTCTGTTTATAAACCCAACCATCCTGTTGCTTGATGAGCCCACCAATCATCTTGGTAAGCTTAAACTTTAACTGGTTTGACATTTTAGTTATTTTGTCAGAATTTTTTTATAATTTTGATTGCATTCTTAATATGCATGGAGCAGAGATCTGTTCACTCTAATGATATGCTTGGCTTGATAGTTCCAACTTTTGAGATTTCTTGTTTTTTTTTTGCATGTCTTTTTTATGGCTTAAGCAGAAATTTGTGGCTGTAGATCTTGGAAATTGCCCACCATATATATTTGCAAATTATAGTTTGCTCCAGGGCCAATTTCTGATCTTTGAAATGGCCTGCCCTCTACTGCCAAATGATAGTCTGTTATATAATTGTACACTGTCCTTTTTGTTATCAACATTCATTTTGTTATATAGTTTGACTTTCACATTGCTACTGATTTTTAAGAATTTAGTTGAATTTGGTCTTACATATGTTTGTGAACTAGTTGTCCTGCTGTAGCTGTTTGACTCATTTCATCTGTTAATGTGCTTGTCTTTTGTTTATGTGAAGACAGCATATTTCAATGACTTTAAACTCATGGTTAGTTGTCTTCCTTTGGTAACAGATTTAGAAGCCTGTGTGTGGTTGGAGGAGACCTTGAAGAACTTTGAGCGCATCCTAGTGGTGATTTCACACTCCCAGGATTTTCTTAATGGTGTGTGCACAAACATCATCCACATGCAGAGCAAGAAACTGAAGATCTACACTGGAAACTATGATCAGTATGTTCAGACCCGTTCTGAACTAGAGGAGAACCAGATGAAACAGTATAAGTGGGAGCAGGAACAGATTTCTAACATGAAGGAATATATTGCTCGGTTTGGGCACGGGTCAGCAAAATTAGCTCGTCAGGCACAGAGCAAAGAGAAAACCCTAGCAAAAATGGAGCGCGGTGGGCTTACGGAAAAGGTGGCCAGAGACAAGGTTCTAGTCTTCCGTTTTGTTGATGTCGGAAAGCTGCCACCGCCCGTACTTCAGTTTGTAGAAGTCACATTTGGTTACACTCCTGATAATCTGATCTACAAGAACATTGACTTTGGGGTTGATTTGGACTCGCGTATAGCTCTGGTTGGGCCAAATGGAGCTGGAAAGAGTACTCTCTTGAAGCTGATGACAGGGGAGTTGTTCCCTACTGATGGCATGGTCCGGCGGCACAATCACCTTAGAATTGCTCAGTTCCATCAGCACTTGGCTGAGAAGCTTGACGTGGAACTGTCTGCCCTGGCGTATATGATCAAAGAGTACCCAGGAAATGAGGAAGAAAAGATGAGGGCTGCAATTGGTAAGTTTGGCCTATCGGGTAAGGCACAGGTAATGGCAATGAAGAATTTATCGGATGGACAGAGGAGCCGTGTGATCTTTGCTTGGTTGGCATTTAGGCAGCCCCAATTACTTTTGTTGGATGAGCCAACCAATCACTTGGATATTGAGACAATTGACTCGCTGGCTGAGGCACTGAATGAGTGGGACGGGGGTCTGGTTCTTGTTAGCCATGATTTCAGGCTCATAAACCAGGTAGCTCAGGAAATTTGGGTATGTGAAAATCAAGCTGTGACCCGGTGGGAGGGCGATATTATGGACTTTAAGCGGCACCTAAAGGTTAAGGCTGGTTTAGGTGAATGAGGCTGCGGCAGACACCCACTTCCATCTAAGTTTGTAGTAGTTCATTTGTTGGCCTTGCTTTACACTCGTATGAGACAATGTAGTGAGGGTACTTTTTACTATTTCTGAGCCATGTCTTCTCAGACTGACTGTGACGGAAGATGAGCGGAATGGGCGAAAGGCTTGGTTATTGTTTCAAGCCGGCGGCAGTTTCTATGCCCGTAGCCCAACTTGTAGGTGGGATTTTTTTGTTTACATTGCGCATGTTTGGACGTTTATATTTTGCTTGGTTAGTAGCCAAGTCGATTACATTATAGTTATTTTAGGTAGATACGTTGCCTATGCCTTGTTCTTTTCCTTGAAAATGTTGTACTTGCATATTATTTATAATATTGGAAATTCTATCTCGGCAGGCCTCACTGTTTCATGTCATGGCATGTGGCTTGGGATCACTTTATTTTGTTGTGGATGTGGCCCTTGCAATGTGTTACATTTACCAGAGTATAATTTCTACAGAACAGAATTGGTTAGAGACCATTTAAGAACAATGGAAAGGAGGGAAATTGTAGAGCAGATTCCTGTTACATGATTTTGAGCGGTTTGGTTGATGGATTTTGTTGGGAATGTGATCAATTTTTTTTTCTTCTCCTCTATTTGCGTGATGATTTGTGTCACTATGGGGGTTGTTTGGCTGCCTAGAAAATCTAGGAAACTGGCCAACGATCATTTAACCAATTACATTTATGATTTGTCTGAGTGTCAAGAATATGAAACAGAATTGTTATTTGATGTCATTAAAATATGAAACAGAATTTTATAAAAAAAGTAATTAATTTGCCCATACCCTGTGCCAGAGAACCTCAGTGATAGTGATGATGAACACCCAACGCATATCCACCGCCAACAAGCTAAGCAATCTCAACCTGAAGACGGATACGAACTTTGCAAGAAGAGGAAAAAGTAATAACAGTAGAAGAGAATGATAAAAAGAAGATGAAAATGTAGAAGAAAAAGAGGAACCCAGGAAAAGTTACCAGCCAATGGAATCACCCTAATTTTGCCTCTACTGGCTTAACCCTTTCCAAAAGTCGGATTTATCCATCAAGAGTAAGTCATGTGCTACTCACATGATTAAAACTAACATAAATTGTAACTAAAGGACTCAATTGGAACTAATGAGAGAGTTGGATGAACTAATTGTCTCAAAAACAAAATTCCAGAACTCAATTGAAACTTGGTTAAAGTTTTAGGACTTCTACAATTAAAAACCCTAAAATATATAAGTTTCATTTTTTTTTTTACAATCTACCTCAATGGAGCCCAATTGGGTGTTGGTTGGTTTGGGGAACACGCCAGTGAGGGCTGTGATCTGCTCCCCTCCTTCAAGGGGCGTCATCTTTCAATCATGGCGGCTGTGAAGTTAAAACAAAATAAATAAAAAAACTCAAGTTAGAATCTAGGGGTATTATGGGAACAAGGCTGGAGTTATATTGAAAAAAAAACAAAAACAAAAACAAAAATATTTGATGGGGTTAGTTCGAAATAAGAATCAGAATGGCAATAGCTTTGACTCAATGGATCACAGTAGCATTTTGCTATTTATAGGGCGTCCCAAGAAGAAGCATTTCATAAGGAATCACATGTTTACCTTGATTTCCAGTTTTTGTTTTCTAAGACAAATATTAGAAAGGTCCTTTACAAAGAGGTGGAGATCAAAGCGGTTGACCGAAACAAAGTTATGATAAAGTAATCCAACCACAAATATACTTGTAATAAAAATGTCCATCAAGGCAACAGTTAGGTTCGACAGCAAGCAAGAGGAATCTCTGCACCAAAACATCGGTTGAAAAGGCTTGTTTACTTTTAAATTGCAGATAGTGCGTTCATACCAGCCGACATAGCCGAATCGAGTTGAAGAAAACGAAAAAATCGTGTTGATAACAAAAGTCAATATAGACTCAAAAAATGATTTGGACCGTATTGAATCGGTTCCCGTCCCGATTCTTGTCGTAGAAAAATCGATCTAAAATGAACTGGACCAGTTATATTAAGTGTAGTTATTCATTTATATCCAAATTTACTATTAAGCTTAACTAATATTCAAATCACAATAGTAATTAACCCCAAGTAATATCTAGATGCTTTAGCTCAATTAATACCGAAATGTCTTATTCCAAATTTATACCAAATTAAATAACAACTCTAACCCCACTTCTTTTTCTTTTTGTGAACCATATCCGTTCTTCTTGTTGCGCTTTGGTCTCTCTCTCTCTTTTTCACCTCTTTCTTTCTCCCTCTCTTCCTCTTTATATCTTCTACAACTTTCTCTCTTATTCCTATTTTCACTTCTTTCTATTTCTATCTTCTTCACCTCTTGCCCTTTTTCTCTTATTCCAAACCAAAAACCGGCTGAACCGAGCTGAAACATCATCATTTAGACACTTTGTATGAAAACCAAAATGAACCGAACTATGTATAAGTTTCGATTTCGATTTAATTCGAGGAGTAAACCGAACCAAACTGATTGTGCCCACCCCACTCCATACATGATTCTGGCATTTGCACCGCTGCTTCTCCAAAGACTTCGAAATCATGGCAGTCATTTTCTGGTTGCCATGGTCACTAGCTTCTCTACGATTTCCTTGAGTCCTGCTCTACTGTCCTGATGGGCTATAGCCGAACCATACTCAGATACCAATTGTTGTATCATGCACCGACATTGCCCAAATCTTAACCACCTAGGTCGAATACCTTGGGAGGTTTCAAGCCCAATGTACCTCTAGGTAGGGTTGGGCACGGTCCGGTTTACCCCTCAAATTAGAACTGAAATCGAAACTTATATACGGTTTGGTTCAATTCGGTTTTCATACAAAGTGTCTGGAGGAATTGAACCAAATTGGACCTATGTGGTTCTGATTCGGTTTGGCCGATTTTCGATTTGGAATAAGAGAAAGATGTAGAAGAGATAAAGAGGAAGATAAGGGGAAAAATATAGGTAGAAAAAGACCGAAGTGCAATAAGAAGAACGACTATGGTTCACCAAAAAGAAAAAGAACTGGGGTTAGATTAGAGTTGTTATTTAGTTGGGTATAAATTGGGACTAAGATATTTGGGTATTAATTAGGCTAAAGTATCTAGATATTATTTGGGGTTACTATTGTGATTTGAATATTAGTTAGGTTTAATAATAAATAAATGAATAACTAAACTTAACATAACTAATTTGGTTCAGTTTAAACTGATTTTTTTACAGTAAGAACCGAATGGGAACTTTTTCAACATAGTCCAATTCGATTCTTGAGCTGAGGTTGAATTTTCTGGTCAACATAGTTTTTTTTAACTCGGTTCGACTCGGTTCACTGGTTCAAATGCCCACCCCTGCCTAGGTGTGAGGTTTTAACTTAAAAGGACTTGGTACTATTAAGAGTGGACCACTTATATTTGAACTGTAGATTATTGTTGTATTCTTCGATGGGGGACTTACACATCATAACTTGTATCGAGCCACCTACATTAACAGCCCCTCCCTAGTTTGAGCATTTCCTCTTGGATGATTTCTTTGTAACCTTTTAGCTGTCCTTCATATAAAAAATTATGAGTCCCCAAATAAACCAAAAAGGGTTTTATACACTAAAAAATGGTGTATATATGATTTTAGTAAAATTTATATATATGGCTTTATTTTAGAGAAAAGTAAAGAAGAAATTTCTGGCTTCCATGGACAAATTATTGAGAAATGAGAGAACAAGTCCAACACTATGAAAAATATGGCAAAAGTTTTCTGCCTCTACTCGTGGGCAAATTACTATTGAGAAATGAAAATGTTGGTCATTTTTCCCGTCTCGCACTCCTTCTGACAGGGAAGGTTCAAATTGCTCTGCGGAGTGAAGAGGTCGTCGGATATACACCAATGCCCCGATTGGATCTTCTTGGGTCACGGGGAGGATTCTCTCAACTTCTGAACAAAATTGAAAGTTGAATCAGGTTGATAGGAACGGGCAAGCTCGGGCCAGGCCCTGTCGGCTTGTTCCTTCCTTCCTGATTCAGGAATCGCATAGGCGTGCCACTATTGGGTATGAGACCAGCCTAATAGACCTAGTGTGTGTGATGTAGTATATTGATTTGTTGTGTTTGCGCTTGTTTTGGACCTTTGCTCAAGCCATTGTGCTCCAAGGGAGGTACTAGCATGGATGAGTTCTTTTCTATGCCTCAACTAAGAGGATTTCAGTATTCTTTCATTCGTGTGTATTAGTTTGACAGATATGAGTAATACCTAATCAAACAAGGAGGAAACCAATATCGTGGTTAATGACACCCTGTTTGGGTTTAGAAACCTAGTTCAAATTTAAACAACCCTCAATCTGGGCCAATATTCCAGTCAGTTCGGGCCCAATAAAGTCATTCGGGCCTAAATCAACCTTCAATTTTCAGACTAATATATAGCCCTATTCGGGCCTAGAGCTTTATTTTAGGTTCGAATGATGAATTTAAAATAGTGCGAAAGCGGGAAATTAAATTAATCTACTGAAACATTTATAATATATAAAAGCGATTAAATGTCAAATGCTCAATGAAACAGTCAAAATAAATTCTGAAATCTCTTTATCGAATTTTAACTTGACATCAAAAGGAAGATGAGAGTCCTGAATTTATCCATTTAACAAATTCGAAATATAAATTACAAAGCAAGAAAGGATTGGAGATTTCTCTATCCAGTCAGATGGATACATGAATTCAAACTTATCGTTTAAAATAAAATCATACTATGAAGATGGCAGAGCAACAAAAGATGAATGCAGGAGTTGTCAACTGGTTATTTGGAAATTAAGCAGGTTGGTTTGAAAAGATCTTGAGTTTTTTCAAGTGTTTTCGAGACATTGCGTCTAGTTTGGATAGAGAGTCCCCTTCTTCTGTGGCGGAGGCTCTTTATTTATAGGCATGGAGCGAGCTTCAATGATGATGATTACTGAAAAAGGATATTTGGCTGTTATCCAAAGTCAACTGTTGATCTGTTAGTTTGGACCGGTTCATAGGCGAGATGATGGAATGTTTCTGACAAAACCGCTTGTCCCTTGCGATATTCCCCTAAGTTGAGTCCTTTGTACCCGGAAATCTGGTTGGCAATTCGGCTTCCTTTGGTTATGGTGGCTTTTGTCTAGCTTACTTTCTTGTTGAGCGAGAAGAAAGTCAAGTCGTCATTAATTGTGACAATCTTCTTCAGACCCTCACGTGGGTCAATGTGTAATGGTTACCGATCTTTTTAACTTTAGTGCAACTCAAAGGCTTGGACTTTTTGTCTTTGTGGGCTTTTTATGAACTTTTTTTTATCTATGACGGCCCACTAAGTAAAAGAATTCCTTTGGCTTTTAAAGAAAAGTAAAAGAAATTGGCCTGGGCTTTTAAAAT